GAACTTTCACATTTACATTAGTAGGAAGTAGGATGTTATATAGAAATAATGACTCGAATACAAGCATACATACATACATATACACATACATAATTACATATGATAACGCGCACGATCTAGCGTATTTGCGCTGCCCATTAGGGCTTCCGTGCTATTATGGATATTTGTTATGCAAATAATGTTTAGTCATTCGCGCTAGTTTTCAAATTTATGTTTCCCATTCCACCTCTAACAAAGTTGCGGCTAAAGTCTATGACATATGTACACTTAAATGACAATTAAGGTGTTGTTGTTTGGTTTTTATAGCTGGTTTTGATGTACGCTATGACTTTTAACTTTCCGACAAACATACATATGTATACATTAGCGCACACAAGGNCCCCCCTAAAGCTAATAACCTCAAATACAATCTGTATCTTAAAGCTAAGAATCCAGCTCTCAAGGAAATTATAAGAAATATTTATTATAATTTCTGTTGCTTGAAAAAGCGCTTTGCTTTTGCTGTAAATTTTCATGAGGGAATAAATATTCGAGCATTTTTTTTCTTGAGAGCTACAAACTGATTTAAGTAAATTTCTTTTGCATTTCTCGTCCGTCGTTTTATAAGAATTTTTCGTTTTTCTGGAGAGTTCAGTTAATTTTTTCGGTATTTGAAATATTAAAAAAATTTAGCAATCGTGAAAAATCACCATCTCTATCGAAAACCAGAAATCGAAAAAATGAACATAGAAGTGCAAAATATCATGGAATCAATAAATTTGTTTTTACTGACTCTTTTTTAAAATTTTTTGTTAGGTACTTTTGAAAGTTGAGCGCATCTTGAGTCTATAGAACTTTTTATTAAACAAGTAGTTTTTAAGGAAAGAACACAACCGACTTCAATTCTCATATTCAAATTTAGGGGTACCGTTAATTTCTTCATGATCCAATCATCGGATCTCTAAAACAAATTACGGGACGAACCTTGAGGTACTATCTTTCTAATAAAAAAAGGATTATTGAAAATGGTTCACGTGGTCCAAAGTTATGTATTCCGGCGAGATGATAACATCCCTTTTTTTTTAAGTCGGTTAAAAGCGTTTGAGTTCTGTTAATCTGTAAATAAAGTGCTGTTTATGAATTTTAAAACATTTATTTATTTATTACATACTGTACATAAAACTTGCATAAATGTATATTAAAGAGGGTATTATCTGAAGCAAATTTTCAGTATTTTCCGGTGATATATCTTCAGAAATATATAACCCCCTCTAAAATATATTCCTGGGTGCGCCACTGTATGTATATATGTACAAGCACACATGTATGTAATACAATAATAATTATATTAATTAATATTTAAGCAGGGCTCCCTATACTTCAAGACATCTTTATTCTAAGCAGATATCTTTTGCTAAAGCTTTCAACAATCATTTTTAACAACTCAATTTTTTCCTCTCATTTGGCAATAAGTACAACCAACTATCGTTTAGGAAGATACGAAAAACATTAGCTGCGTCAGTTATTCAGTCCAACTGTATCCAGGCCCTTCTGCCCCTGCACTTTCCATTTTATTTTGGAGCGCTTTTGCTTTCGTTGTCTCCGCATGGATACATAATCGAAGGATATTTTCCTCGAGGCGTTGTCATATATGTCCCTGCCATTATAAAACCCTCATTGTTCGTCATTCCAACTTCTTCGGTATACATCGCTCACGCGAAAAGGAGGCCATAGACCTTAGATGCCGAATTGCATAATTCTTCCACAGCCATCTTATCTTTGACCGACATCCTGCCATATACATATACTAGCGGGCCACGGATGTATGCATATGTATGTACATTTACGTATTTGGAAAAAGAAATCATATGTCGTCATGTACTTCGTTTATTATATATTTAAACAATTTTTTCTAAACCCGTTCCGTAGCGTGGTAAAAATATCTCGCCTTTCCTTTATGCTATGTATAGAAGATAGTAATTTTAAGAAGGTGGTAACCCTAGTAAAAAATATTTAAGTTTTAGTACATGCGAAGGCCATGCACTTTCATTTGGAATCTAATTTTTTTATCCACCGAACGCTGAAGATATTATAGTTTTTAAACAGGTGGCAACACTACTCAGAAAAATAATACATTGTTACACACCTAGAGGCTAAGCCTTTTCATTTTACAGTGACGGCGCAAAACTGACGCTTACGCTTATTAGGATTGAAAATCGTAATTTTCCTAAGAAATGGCAACCCTATTCAAGAAGTAAGTCATTTGTGATTTTCTGGAGACCAATCGCTTTCGTTTGACACCTCATTATTTGTAATCCAACGAACGGTGCGGATCTTATGCGGTGCGGATGTATAGAAGATAGTACTTTTAAAAAGGTGGTAACCCTAGTAAAAAAATTAATGTTTTAGTACATGCGAAGGCCATGCACTTTCATTTGGAATCTAATTTTTTTATCCAACGAACGCTGAAGATATTATAGTTTTTAAACAGGTGGCAACACTACTCAGCAAAAATAATACATTATTACACACCTAGAGGCTAAGTATTTTCATTTGACAGTGACGGTGCAAAATTGTCGCCTACGCTTATTAGGATTGAATATAGTAATTTTCTTAACAGATGGCAACCCTATTCAAGAAGTAAGTCATTTGTGATTTTCTGGAGACCAATCGCTTTCATTGCGGATCTTAATAGTTTTTTACACAGGTGGCAACTCTATTAAAATTCTAAATAAAAAAGGTCACTCTCCTATCGATACAGAATATATTAGAGAAAATCTCTACGAGATTACCGCGTACAAAGAATCTCGACTTTCCTTTATACTATGTATAGAAGAACGGACATGATGAGAGATTTGCAGAGCGTAATTTTTGTTTGCCTAGAGAGGGCCGCACTAGTTGATTTCCACAGAGTTTATACGATGGTTGCAATAGAAAATTTTATATAGTCGCCCGTATGCCAGAAACATAAATGTGTAAAAATTAAAATTTTGGGAAACCAAGTTTGAAAGATTTTATGTACGTGACTTAACTCCAAATTTATGAAATTGGAATTGTAACCTTTCCCTAAGGTGTATCATATGTCATTCATGATATGTGGGCAATCACAATGAATTTGTTCTGGACTTTCTTCCACCAGCCCACAAAACCTGCACTACACTACACTACACACTACAGAAAGCCCAATTTTATTCAAAATGGTACCTTAACTTGCAGTGTTCTGGCAGGTAGCCAGTAAGAGTTCTGATACCCTCAAGGTTAAATTCAAGGAGTCTTTCGGAGTTCCTCCTAGAAGCCGTTATGAATCTCTTCGATTGTCTCATTCCCTTTGACTTCCGCCAGTGGGATTCTTTACAGCTCCTGCAGTGTATCCTCTAGATGTACCGCAGAAAGGCTCGGTACCATGCGAGGTAGTCAGCACTTTCTTTGTCTTCAAACGCTTCATTTATCGGCTCACAGATAATTTAAAAGAGTTTCACCGCTGTCCATAAGCCTTGATGTACATAATTTTGAAAGAGTCTAAGGTATTTAACGCTGCCTGAGTACCGGAAATAATACTTATTCTGGCCCCATTTGTCATTCAATTGCCATTCTGAATTATGATCGGGTATGTGCCCACTCTCAGACTTTTCTGAAATCTTGGTACAAGTACGTCTGCCCCAGTACTCTCGTCGTCCATCTTCGGACCGTATCATAGTTATTATCGCTTCACAGCAGTGACTTTCAGGAATTCTGACCATGTAGGGTTTGTAGAAGGATAACTTCGGTAGCATGATGTTCGTGAGTTTGATAGCGGGATTATCCAGAAATGGCTTGAGTACTTCCAAATGATCCCGAAGATTTCCGCTTTTCTTGCAGCCGTAGAAAGCTCAAGCAGACCTCTTTTTCAATCAGAATTAGTAAAGTAGGAATGCCTGCAATGACACCAAGGGCATCCGTTGGACAAGTGCGCATAGCTTCTGTCATGACCGCGCAGCCAGTGCAGCTTGTTCAAGGTGGTACCCGCGTTTACCTGCTTAGCTTTTGGCCACAAAGCTAATATGGCATATTTAACAACGGCTTTGACTACCGTAATGAAGGACCAATATTTAAGGACGTTAGTCTTACCATGAAGTATCTGACAGGCCTTGTTGGTAACATTTGAGAGATGTGATTTCCAATTGCGTCTTTTGCCCAGAGTTACCCCTACTTGCCCTCTTCTGAGAACGCAATTTCTGTCCCTGCCAAGGTGGGTCTAGTCAATCTGATTTTCCTTTTGTCAAATGGGGCAAATAGTGTCCTCATGCCAGCCAACAACGTAGATGACTAGGACATACATATGTATACATATATTTGTTTGTACAAAAGGAGAGAAAAACATAGGGTGAAAAATGAGAGGTTCAACAGCACGCCAAAAAGAAAGGAGCTAATGAAAAATCAAAAAAAAAAAGTCGAGGGGTGTGTAATTTTTAAGAGAAAAAGGTTGTCCAAGAGATACTTTTCTCAAAAAACTGCTTGTTCTTTTGAGCCAAGTATGGATGTACATACCATATACCAGATTTGGAATCGCTGAGGAAAAAGTGATAGAACCAATATGATGCTATGGTATGCTAGGAATGCAGTAGAACAGCTGCTCGGCAAACGTAAAATGAGAATTTCAGCTGCTAGGCAGATATAAAAAATGTTGGGAGACGAATGTTAAGATATTCCTTAAACCATTTTAATTTAAAATTTAAAAATTTGCTAATTAAAAACGTGATTTGCCAGCAAAGTCATGTCAGGCAAGTTTTGAACGCAAAAAGCAAAGGCATTCCAGCTGAAAATAAAAAATCTAAATGAAGTGCAATGAAGTGAAGACTGAGCAGCCAGCACTGGAGAAACGAATCCACAAACAATGTAGATTCTCTGGCAAGAGAGGGACACAATTGAAAGAGTATACCTTGAAAGCAGACAACAGTAAATATACATACATATGTATATACATAAATATATGTAAGTATATATGTATATATAACAGCAGACATTTGCGCCCATCACAGAAGTCAAACCGGTGGTGCGGCAACAGCCCAAGCAACCAAGTAATCTTCGAGTATCCGCTCTTGACTCTTTAGTGCTCACCAATGGCGCTACTCGACGTGATCGATCGAGTGTGTTAGTTAAGAGTAGTATTTGTCTGCTTACTCTGCCTTAAATATAAAATACAAAAAATTGTTAATAATAAAATAGTCGAAATACTACAGTCGCGAGCGTAGGAATAACGTCGCAACGCGCTTGCTCAAAAAACAACAACAACAACAACAACAAGGTGGAGAAACTATAAACGCAAACAAACGAGATTGGACGGACGGACGGACCGCGCCTAACAGTGCTGTACCGCAGCTCCTCGACCTAGCTGCATAGAGGGTCGGCCGTTGGAGGCAGTACGAATCACAAATTGTCTGTGTACGGCATATAAAATAAGCATGTGGGAAAATACGCTTGCGTTTACGCAGCAAAGCGCATAGCGCAACGTTCCGTACAGTGGTGGCGAAAGTGAATGCCAAAGTGTATATTTTGCGACAAATAGTGAGGAGAAGAAAGAAAGCAAAAGAATTTGGCGTTACTTCCGCGTGTAAATCATAGAAAATATTTAGCGAAAAAAAAAAGAAAATAATAATTAAACGGAAATTAAGTGAATTGTATATCCAAATTGCGTGCAATCAAAGCAGCTGCTAGATTTTTTTGTTAACGAAAAGTGTAATTAAAAAATTAGTGCGAGAAGGAGAAAAATTTTTTGGACGCCTGACATTTTGTGGAAAAAGTGGCGAATCCACGAAAGCAGAAATACACAAAAAGGTGGCGTACTCACGTATGGCTACTAAGTAGCAGGAAAAAGCAAAGCCAATAAAATAAAGTAAGATATTTATTTACTACGATTTCCTACTTTTAAGGATAAGGATTATGCAAAAGTAATGCAATTAAAATCGTTTAGTTACTATGTATTAAACTGACCTTGAGTCACATTATTTACGTAGTACTTGTGGAATACATACATTACTTATGTAAAATGAGAAGTCGAACAAAAAAAAAACATTCCCCAAGTTTCTCCACCCACCCATAGAATTGATAAAGTCTATAAATTGCTTTGCGATTAGTACCTAAAACATAAAAATAAAGAAACTTAACTAAAACCGTTCGAGCTAAATTTAACCAGCTGGCTTAACTATTTAAAATACGGTGGAAATTTTTGGTTACGACTACATCAAACTGTTAAGCGAAGAGTCTTATCTCAAACAAATAAAGTCGGAAAGCAGCTAATAGAAAAATAATTGCAAAAAATACTAATACTACTTAAGTAATGTATGTATGCGCCGCAGTAATGTTCGTTTTGTTGCTAAAGTAATGCAGGTGTTAACTTATTTAAATTGTATACTTTTAGCGAGTGTAAACTCAACCGAAATTATACATTTATACATGCCAGGGATGTTGCGAATATTTGCATTCGCATTCGATATGCGAATGATTCGCATCATTTTACACATTCGACATTCGACATTCGCATTTGCATCAAATGATACGAACGTTTTGCGAGTGCGAATGTGAAATGGCTCTAAGTCTGTCTAACCAGGATGCGGACAATAACCGGCTTTTAGCTTCAGGTGCTAAACGGTTGAGTAGTAGTAGTAGTAGTAGTAGTAAGCAACACTGATGGGCCTACAACCAGTACTGCTAAAAGTCTTATAAGCAACCTAGAAATAATGTTTGATTCCTCCAGTGAAAGCGAAGGCACGGATGTAAAATCTGGAGACATTAAAATATGTGAAATTAAAGCTCAATTGAAGGAATATCTTAAAGAAAAACGAGCTCATCTCGGTGAAAATCTTCTCGATTGGTAGAAAACTAAACTAAAATACGACAAATTGACAGATCTGACCCGGAAATATTTGAGCGCTCCATCCGCCAGCGTTCCAAGTGAGCAATTGTTCAGTGCAGCCCCGGCCTTATATATGAGCCTCTATGAAATCGCCTTATGGGAGAAAGGGCACCGAAATTACTTTTTTCAATAATATTTTAAGTAATAAAAACCATAATTTAAGTTGATTATAGCTTTTTTAATATTATTCCTAACATTCGCATTCCGAAAATTCGCATTCGTAAAAAAATATGACATTCGAAACATCCCTAATACGTACATTGGAAGCGTCATATTATTGAACTTGTTTATTTCTTATTGACGCCGCAAAAGAACAACAACATTAGCTCATTTAAAATATGTACAGTGGCTGACAAAATAACGTTTTCAACATGACATGACATTTTCTGTGCGAACTCAATTGGGTTTCAAAGTCACACTAGGGTAAGGCTTCCTCAAATTGGCCCCAAATTTACCAAGATTAATATTTTTCAATGCTATTCAGGCAGCGCCGGGTTTTGTAGTCGAAAAGTACACTGTGTAAATTTTGTTACAAAATTCCAAATGGTTTTTTTAAATCAACAATTGAAAATTGTTGCACTGTTTTGGAAATTTTTATTTTTCTTTGAAAGTGAGCGTCCGAATGAAAAAAATTTTTTGGGTGTAGATTTAAAAAACATTGAACTATACAATGAACTTATTTGCGTTACAAAACTATTTTTTGATTTTCAATATTTTTTTAATGAAAAATTGAACATTTAAGCAATTTCTGCGTCTCGAAGAGGAAAATTTTTAACAACAACTTATGTAATAAATAATAAATGTAATATGAAAAAAATGCGTGCATTTCGATATAGTTTGGTCGGAATGAATTTGTATTTGCCAGCGTGCGCGCCCGACTCCCGCGGGCATGCGAAATTCGAGTATGAGAAATAAATGTGGAACGATTGAAAAGTGCATTTCTTTCTTGCACCAGAAGTCAACGCGGTTTGCGCGCGATCCAGCCACCCGAAAAAATGTTTTCATTCGGACACTTACTTTCAATTGATGATTAAAAAAAAAAACTATTTGGAATTTTGCTACAAAATTTACACAGGGTACTTTTCGGCTACAAATCTCGGCGCTGCCTGACTATGCTTGAAAAATATTAATCTTGGTAAATTCGGGGCCCACTTGAGGAAGCCTTACCCACTATTTAAAAGAAAAACCTTAATAGTGCGCTCCAGGTGCTCACGATATTCACGATTTGCAGGTTTCTTTTGCAGGAAAGCGTTCCAGGTGCCAAAAAGCGTGTAAATGGGCTAACTCACCAAATCCCTACATTATCTAACCCACGGGTACCGAGTCACACACAGCCCTAACCCCTAGAAACCACCCCTACCATACCGTAGGGGTTTGGTGAGTTAGCACATTTATGGTGTGAGACAAAATATTAAGAAAAATGAGACTCAATTCGAGAAAATTAGTAATCGACTATATCATGTCTATGTTATCTCAATCGATTTTCAGGTGTAGGAAAATTTAGAAACATGAAAATTTCAAAATGCGATATCTCAGCGAAAAAAATGATATTTTAGCAAACAAAACGCCATTTGAAAGAAGAAGACTTGTACTTAAAGATGCCAGCCTATTATTTTGGTGAAAGAAAACATCTGCAAGGCTACATAACCTCAAATATGGGCAAAAACGGTGTTTGTTGCACTTTTAGGTTAGGATATCTCGAAAACCAGAGCGGATAGAGCAAATCTGAGGCCAGACTTGGATTCAGCGCATCATAAACCTTCGGAAATATATAGTCTGGTTTCTGGGTCTCAATGTTGGTTAAATTTTGTCGGCCTGTGTAATGCTCAATCAAACGTAAAACAATTTCTTTCTCTAGTTCCGCGCATTTGCTCACCACGACGATCAGAAGGCAAGTGAGCTTGTTTTTTGTCAGGCATAACGCGGCCCGGTTGATAAAGGCGCTTTAAATGAAAAAATAAATAAAAAAATGGAAGTAGTTACAGGAAAAGTGGTTTTTCGCGTTCCAGGTGACTTTTACTGTTTCGCTCCTCCGTTCAAGAAAGTAATTTTGTTGTTTGACATTTCTTCAGGTTTTTACACGAAGTTACCTGGAACGCCACTAATAATAGCGTAAAGGATACTAACTCTTGTAAATGAACCCTTAGGCGTGAAATATAGCTATAACTTCGGAACCGTAAAACACATTACTTTGAAATTTGGAGTGAAAATCAATGGTAAATGCATAGAAGTGAGTTTACGACAGATAGCGCTAGAGTTGAGATATTTAGAGAGTTCCTCTTTATCGTACGACCGGGTATTAAACGGGCAGTACTGCGTCTGCAAAAAATTTACCCAAAACATAGATGTCGCTGGAAACTAGGCCTTTAGATACTCACTAAGAATTTGCTTTTACATAACTTTATTATGGATGGGGTTAGGTATCCAAACAAAGAAGCGTCACAGATGCACTAGCAGGCTTAAAATGCAGAAATAAAATCTCATAGCATCGAAAGAGATTACAACATATACCATATGATATGTCAGCGCTATTATCCTTGGCCTAAAGGTACGGATTGTCCTGCTCTTCAGTCGGTTCAACCTAAACTAATAATTTTTACTTCACAAACCGTTTTTTCTTTTCAACACCATTTTTGCATTAATCGACGCAAAAGCCCTTATCAACCGTCGCGAAGCAATTCCTGGTTATAAATAATGTTAAAATAACTTCAACAATTTATTGAGCTTGAGGCCATTTCTAAGGAAAAACCACAATGATTTACACAGGGTTGAGTTATAGTTGCTACTACGGAGATCACCAAATCTCGTCATCAGACGTCTTCATCGAGTTCGCTAAGACTTGAACCAACAAAAAATATTTTTCCTTCTAAAACAAATTTAAAAAATTAAAGAAACTTTAATTGAAAATAAAACATTTTAGTTCGTAAATTTATACGAAAATAAAAAAAAATATATAGGTATGTACATAAATACATATACATGTGTATGTATGAAAATTTTTTTAAACTTAATCTGAAAAAAAAGTAAATGAGAAAAAAATTCAAAAAAGCTTATAAAAATTTATTGATATAAAGCAATATTTTTTTAACACAACAAAATCTAAAAATTAAAAGAGATTTTTATTAAAAAAGAAAAAAAATAAAATAAAATAAGAGAAACAAACAAATACATTTAAAGATATACATATGTACACATATTCTTCTTCTTAAAACATTAGATATAAGAATTAAAAGAAAAAAAGAAATAAGTAGATAAAAGAAATAAGTTTCTAAAAACTAAATGTTAAATAAGAAAAAAAAATTATTTTTTAAACAAGAAAAGTTAACAATTAGAAAAAAATTAAGTTAAAAAAGAAATCAAATTTAAAAAAAATACATAAAACGTTTCTAAAAATTAAAGGGAATTAAAAAATTATATTTCTTTTAAGACAATAAAATCTAAAAATTACAATAAACTTAAACTAAAATAACAATCAAAGTTATATTAAATTAATTAATTAATTAGTTAAAGTGTCGATTAAACGAATGACTCCAACATTTTTCAATTCAGCTAAATACATATAACCCATCGAGTGGGATAGTTTTTTATAGTTATAGCTTGATAAGAACTTTTTTAACTCTCCAAGTCTTTCTTAAAAACAGAAACCATGGCAACTTTATTTTGACACCCACTGTATCTCTTTTAACAATTGTTATTGTGTTATGTATGCACGTCAGTATGTATGTATTTGAGCACATATTTGTGTACATTTATGTACATGAATATATCCGCTCGAATAAATACAAAAAGGGAACCTTATTAACGCTATTAATTTATTGAAAACATAATAAATAATTGTAAGTTAAAAAGAATATTTGAACATACATATGTATGTATGTACATTAGGGTGGTCCATAAATGTCCTCATTATGTGGGAAGCAAATTTTTACATACGATTTTCTAAGTCACAACTCCTACGTCAATGCTACTATAGTCGAAGATATCACATATAAATTTTGGTCCCGATTGGAGACGGTTAAGCCGTGTCGCACAGGGGGCAAAGCTTAGATTCCTCTATGAAGACGTCGTAACCGTCTCCAATCGGGACCAAAATTTGTATGTAATATCTTCGACTATAGTAGTATCGATTTTGGCTATTAGATGAAATGATTTTAATTTTTTGAGTTCCTATAGAGGAATCTGAACTTCGGCCCCTGTGCGATCCATATGCGATATCTATGACCGCAGTATTACCGATTAACTGAAAAAAATCGTTTACTTGATTTTTTAAGGGCCACCCTAATGTACATACATTGTATGTGTTTATATATCTCTTTGTACAAAATGTATGCGTAGAATAAGGAAGAAAACAATATGAGAAGTCAGTCCTAAATAATGCGTGACAGCTGGTACCGGTTAGTTGTTTTCTCAAAGCAGCAAAAACTCGAAAACAAAAGGCAGTTCTACAGTTTTAACATGCGGTGCCAGAAAATGCATACATATTTTGAAATTGCCCGAAGTGTTGGACTAATCAAACATTCCAACGATCGCTTACCGATTGCTTTTATCTACAATTGTTAATCGAAACTTAAATTTCAAATACGAAGTTTCTTTGCTTTGGTATTTCTGAAAATTCAATCGACGAGATAGGTGGGGTGTTCTAGTCCTAGTGTTAAAGGACGATTGATGTCCGACCACCTAAAGTGCCTACTGCCGGCTTTTGGGAGCTTAAGGTTTAAGTAGCTTGTATTTTACTTCTTTCTTATTCCCCCAATGATCTTTCAGAGACGAAGTGTTTTTCTTGTAAAAACCCTTATGTGCCACCGCTCAATTACCTTCCACCAAACTTCTCTTCGATTGCATAGAAAGGCCATTCAGTACTGGGAATATTGTTAGAAATATCGGAAGCCCTGCANCATAGAAAGGCCATTCAGTACTGGGAATATTGTTAGAAATATCGGAAGCCGTGCAGGGCTTGGTCTCTACGAAGACGTTGTTCGAGAAGCTTGACTCAACCAGAGTACGACATGTCACCGCATATCACTGGATTGGCAGTGTATTAAATGATTGGACTGTGAAAATTTATTACAAATGAGAAGTGAGTATCCGAAGCTGACATCATCAGCAGACGATGAGGGACATTTTTATGTCATAAATTTTAATTTCGACTGGGTATCTTGCCAAATTGGAAAATGCCACACTTCCGCTTAAAGTGTCCATAGAATGTCTCGAAGACCTATATTTTATGTTCTGTACTGTCTTAGCATGTCAGTAAGCTAGTAATTTAGTGGTTAAATATAACTCTTTGTGTGTTTCCAAAGAAAAGAAGGTATGAAGATTACAAACTGATCTGGCTAAAAGGCAACCTTATTTATTTGATGTAAGAGCCAATTTAAACAAAATAAATCATATTACATTTACATTGGACCAAAATGCGTGATTTGAAATCA